TAAGGAAAGAAAAGTCATGCATCTGTATTAGAAAAACTCCATCAGATATGGTAATCAGTCATCTTTAAGCTTCTCTCACAAATGCAGAATTGCTTGGCATTAAGATTGAAATGTTGGTATCTGAAGTACTGGCTCTAAAGCACTGGCTATATTTGAATGTGTGTGTACATATATATGTCTGTAAATAGAGGTGTACATATATGCACATGTACATACACACATTTATACAAACACCTGTATTACTTGCAATGGCCTTGATGGCTGCTTTTAGAACAAGTACACTTTCAGATAATCTGTTTTTATTATGCTTTTGAATAATACAGAAATATATTATATCTAACCTATTTGAAGCAAATAACTCCTACACATACAAATTCCTTGTTTCTCCTGGACTTCTTTTGTTACTAATACAAGTTATCCGAAACTTTGGGATGCACATATTTAAGGTCTACGTCATTTCATGCACAACAGATGTTAACCATTTAATACAAAACAAAGCACTCAAATATTGTAATGATGAGTGCTACCAGCGTAAGAACCTATACAAACTAGCACTGGTTGTTGTTTATCAGTACACTCAGACAGTGTTTCTTCTGCAAGATACAACAGTCTAAACCTGACATTCACAATTAACTTTAGCAGAATTTACACTAATAGAACTATCACAGACTATGATAATCCTCATATTCTCTGATATACAGAAAAATGCATACATTTATAATGACTAATATTATTCCTCTGAATGGGTTCTTAGAAGAAAAAAATTTTAAAATTAATTTTTCTTAACTGAGATTGTTGCCAAGCCTGTGCTTACTTTTAATGCTGGATTTAATGTGAGAAAAAAATATTAAAATACAACATTGGCTTTTCAATGTGTATAATGTGACATTGGCACATTTAATAACTATACGAGAAAATTACTAGTAACCGAACTAATAAACCAATTTATTATCAGCCCCCTGAGAAAAGACAAACTATGGGGTGAATACAGCTGATTGAACAGGATCATAATCTGAGAACTTCTACAATATTCGATGAGCACCATCTCATTTGGGTAACTTGTAAACAGAGACCTTATTTTACAGAGTTTTTTTTAAAAGAGGTTAAAATCTCTTTCTGCAAGGAACTGAAGCTAAAATCATGTTTGCTCCAAGCAGAATGTTCCATTTATGTCTCTAGCAGGCTACTCAATTATTATTGTTTTCTTTCCCTTATGTACTGACAGCCACTATGCACTGACAGCCACTAATCGCCTGCATCCAAATATCGTGACTGAAGTCTACACTGCTGACACCTCAAATATTTAGCTTTGAAGATTAATGAACATCAGATTATATCCATCCTTTAGGACAGGGACCCGGCTGAAAGTCAAAGAACTTTAAATTTGATTACACGAAAATTACCCAGAAAATTTATTGATTTGCTTCCAATGCAAACAACAATCTTTACAAGTCCATGTTTAACTTTATACTCCCAAGCAATCAGTCCTAAGCATACACAGACAGCTTCCGTGCACAAGTAATAAGAAATACACCACTGGGTGAGAGACCTGAGAAGAACTGGTACAAGGTCTTTACATCTAAAAGGATGCACACATGAATGTCTGTAAGGCTAACTTCTCATTCTTGGGAATTCTCCTCCTGGCCGCAGTTAATATAGATATGATTATGTAATTCAGATGGAAGTCTCATGTAAGGTATGTGAATGACGCCTAACACTACACACCTCCTTGTATGTACATAGGTACACATATACATTCCTATATGTATATACTAATGCATAAATATATGTCCATACATGTGTATCTAGTCCTGTATATATGTATATATCCCCATATGAATTGGGCAACTGACTCAGTTCATGAAGAAATTAGATTACAGCATTGTAAATAACTGAACAAAGACTATTTGATTTACAAGCTATCAGTTCTAATATCAAAAAAGCATGTTTAGATTTTTTCTTATAACACCATTACTACTCATGCAATTTTGTGCAATGTCACCTCAACATCTGCTCTTATACTTTTCTGTAGTTAGAATTTGTGATTTCATTTTTCAAAAAGAACATAAAAAGTGCATGGAATATATCTGTTCTCTTTTTCTCAGTGGTCCCTCAAAACAAATCCTATGCTTACTCTCTCAGCTTCTTCGTTTTTTCACCTCTCTCTGTGGAAATAAAATATTTGCAAAAGACAGACCCTACAGATTCAGTGGAGCTTTACCCTGGGCAGTGAAAATGCACCTTGCTTTATCTTTCCTTACCAATGTTAATAAGAAGATGCTCTTCTGGAAGTTTCTAATATTTTACAGCAGGAAAATGAAATTTCCCCTCCTCTAAGCATCTCAAAGTGTATTTCATAACTTTACTTATGTGCTTTTATAATGGGCTTAACAATATTTAAGTACGCAACAACTTTTGCTTAATACATTGTGGAAGTAGGAAATATTAGATTTTTTTTTAGGCAGTGGTTTGATAACAGTAATTAGTCACACTCAGTATGAGCCTTTGAAGCTACAACTAGATAGGTATATTTGCTTTTATACACCTTCTTATAATTGTATTTTTCAGTAACTGCAGAAGTGAAAAGTTTGCAAAAAATCCAGCAGCTTCAATCATTTTATTCTACTGAGTATCAGACAGATAACCTAATTAAACATTTTTCCCTCAAAATGAAAATTACTTGGTTGTGGCTGGCTGGGCTTTAAGCAATTGCTGTTTTATCTATTGAGAAACTGGATTTAGCTTAACTTCAATTCCTGGAATAAATAAATATAAATAAAATAAATATAAGTAATTTCCCAAGCATTTAGAGAAAACATGAAATTATTATGGCCAACGCCAACACATCAAGAGCAAATGCCATCAAACCAATCTTCTATTTAAGTTAGTAAATTCTTTCTCACTGTCATATAACTTTACAAGAAAGTGTTAGGGAAGCATAGTTCACCTGCACCTATTGTTAGGCGAGTGCAAATTGGTTACGAAATCCTATATAGACATTGCTTATCAGTAGTTCACTGTCTGGTATGGAAAAAGGTATTCAGTAAGGTTCCACAGGACCTAGGTCCAGTTTACTACTTGGTGTTTTCATTAGTGATCTGAATTCCAGGATAAAAAAATGCTTTTTAAATATTAAAGTGATATCAAACTAGGAAGGAGAGAAAACATGTTGGACAGCTTCAGAATTCAAAACAACCTTGACAATTTCTAGAAACCACCTACAAAACACAGTGTGCTACTCAGCGCAAAAAGAAAGCAACATATTGCATTTAGGCAGAACTAACGGGTGATCAGAGAAGGGGGAATGGAAAAACTAATTAACAGCTCTTCAGACAAGAATTTAGAGATTACTGAAGATCAAGAACTGAACATGAGTATGCAATTTATGCTGAAACAAAGAATACCGATGTCATACCTGAAAATACAAATAAAAATACAACTTGTAAGAAAAGTAATCCTTCCATTTTATTGATCATTGGTATGCACTCAAATTTTAAAACTGAATCCATCTCTGGGTGTTGCAGGCAAGAAAGATATGGCAACAGTTCAGAGGAAAACAGTGTGAATAACCACCAGTCTAGAAAGTATCAGAAAAATACTGAAAAAGGTGTGATGTTTCAGCTTTCAGAGAACATGAGGAAAACAAAGGACAATAACCTTTTAATTAAAAAAAAAAAAAGCTGTAGGTTTTCTGTTTTACATCCAGGTTTTTACCGGGAAATTAGGCCATCTTTCAAAACAGACCCAGATATTTACTGGAATTACACTATTTCCACAAAAATATTTCAATTTCTGTGCATCTTCTTTTCCCGAGAAAAGCCATTCTATCTGAGAAACCAGCCACAAGCTGAGCTCAAAGTTGGAATGGTTTCAACCCACAAAGTCAAACTTCAACACAAAAATGTAATTACTATACAAATCAGATGTATTTGAAGCAATGGTTAAGTGTCCAGTATACTTAGGAATTAGAACTGGAAGATAGGTTTTATTCAGTTACTTGAGGCTCACTCATTTCTCATCTTCCCACAGCATGAAAGGATTTTGTGAACACATATGAAAACACCTTTTTTATATCCAAACTGCTATACATACACAAACGCCTCTGCCATGAAAGGTAATGTATGTTTAGAAGTAATATTTTTTTTACAGTGAGAACAATCATTCACTGGAACAGCCTCCTCAGAATGTGGTAGACTCCCCATCGCTGCAGGTTTTCAAGATGCAATTGGACAAGATGCTAAAATAATCTCATCTAGGCTCCCTTTCCCATGAAAGGTTGGACCAGATGATCTTTTCAAGGTCCCTTCCAGCCTGGGCTGTTCTATGATTCTAGTTACTTCTATTAATATAATTTTCTATTTTTAGAGGCTCCCAGTTTGAGGACACAGATTACATGAATGGAGAAATGGAGCTTGTGGTAAGGTATAAATCTGAAGCAAACACCAAAGTGGCAGTCACGTACAAACAGGGTGTCATTTTCAGTCAAGAGAGCCAGAAGGTAGTTTTTAAAAATAAGACAAAAATATAGGCTGTTTTATCCAAGCACAAGTTTTAGGCAGGACTAAGCTGAATTATGCATTCATAACTCTTAAATCAACCCAGTTTGTGCAACTAAGATGCCATCCTACTCAAACACCTGTGGCCTGAGGCAGCATCTCCAATCTCTTGTCAAAGACAAGCAAAAGGAAATAAGGTCAAACTCAAAGAACCTCTGCGCTAAACAAATGTTTCCTTTATACTCGTGTTTTAGTTTTCATCTGAGTACTTTCAACTGTAGATGGAAAGTCAACAGTGGTAACAGGTCTGTGAATAATTAGACTCCTTTGTCTTCCTAGTTGCTGCTCCAAAAATTAAAATTGCAACAGTTTTAAAACTTCTTTTAAATTATGGTGGCAAATCAATTTTACATTGAAATATTGTGCCCTGTTATGAAACACAAATTGCCAAATATGACTGTCTCAATGCTGATACAATGTAGCTTTATGATCCCAGTGACTTACCTTGTTCCTCATTGATGAGGCCCATATTTGCATGTGCTTGTGCCTCTCTTTTCCCACCATCAATTTTTATTAGTTGAGCAGTGTTAAAGCATTGTTCATAGAAGTAATTACTTAACCATTTGTCCTCAGGGTCATTGAAACAGTAGGCCAAGTTAAGCTGGTTATCGTATACCTCCTCATAGTGCCCTTTAAGAACAAAAATTACAACCACAATGTTAGATTATCATCAGCTTTCAGAAATCGTACAAATTACAGCAATAACCATATAATGAAAACAAAGAGCTATTTATATTTCCACCACTCAAATACCACCAAGTTCTCCTACATGTCTACTCAAAGAATTACGATAAGGGGAAAATGTTAAACTTACAAATTAGGCAGAATTGAAAACTTATTTTAGAAAACCCACAATAAATTGCTCTCATTTCTGTATGCAAAACCAAAATTCAGTTCAATAAAACATGCAAAACCTGAATAAGACATTGGCTAGTCAAAATAGAGAAGCTAGAGGGAACAAAAAAAGCACACAGTCACTGCTGGAGAAGCATTTGTCTGAGCCACTGAGACCTGAAAAGGCACCAAGATCTTTCAAAACAGGTCTAAGGTAGCAACTGCAGTGATGGAGATGAAGAACCAGAACACTCTGCAAACACAATCCATTAATTCATACCATTTTAAATGTTCAAAAGTAAGACTAACAAGAAAAGCTTTGAGTTTTCATGTATACTCCCATTTTTAGTATCTCATCACTCTTAGAAATTAAGGACAAATTGAAATTTTACACTTTGCCCTGAAAACAGAACAGTTCACCAAGGTATTGTTCTCAGAACAAACGTGGAAAGCAGGGGAGACTCAAAGTCACAGATCTCCTTTATGATCTGAAGAAAAACACCCACCTTTAGTTCCTACTCTTTATCATATCAGACAGCTAAATGAACACACACTATCCCTAAAATTCATAAAACTGCTGCAAGTCCCAAATCTAAGTAGCATTACAAAATTATCAACAAATATATTACTCACAAGTTAAAATTACAGAATTAGAGTTATTCCTCTCAGAAAAGCACCTTTAAAAAAAAAAAAAAAAAACACCACCACAAAAAATCCTCTTTGGATTATTCCAAAACTGTATTAATTTGGAGCAGTGATCTAAAACTTACCTGACAACTCTTATCATACTGCTTCTCCCTAAGGGATATTTGGAATATATATTCCTTACACGATGCTGAAGCATCTATGAGATAATAAAGTACAGCACGAACCTATGTTTCACAGCTAAATTTATCACTGGCTAAACTAAATGAGTTTTCTATCCAAACTCAGCCCATGTCAGGTGTGAATGGGAATAATTAGCTAAAATTCCATTGCAGTTTTGGCTGGCTACTTAATGTGTTTGTGGCTGTTAATGAATGTAAGCTAAAGAGCTAGTTCTTAGAAGTATTTTCATGTAGTTGGGTAAAGAAGGAGTTAAGAACCATGAGTCTCGCAGCAGGTACAAGACTGTTTGGTTAAGCTAGATGTCTGAACAGAACTGCTTTGCTTTCCAGAGTTCTGCAGTTAGCTTTGCTCAACAAAGAGAGAGAAGGGGGAAAAGAAAGAAAAAACCCTCTTACTCCTGGAGCACCACACAGAAATCCACTGGGGAAAAAAACCGATTTCAATATAGGCAAGATCTCACTCAAAGGCCAGATCTTTTCTAAGTGTTTTAAAACTATGACAGCATATCAAAATAGCTTGATCAAAAGATGCAGGTAAATTATCCTCTTCTGTTATCTGCAGGAAGAACTGGGGAAAATCCAGCTTTCAAAAGGGACTAATTCCTTGACTATAAATTCTGTCATCTATGCAGGTCACTCACATTGTTTAGAACAAACAGCAGCAATTACTCAAAAAAGTATTTTGAATGCATCACTAAAACACATGAGAGTGTTTCCTCAGCCTCATCTCTTGTATGTTCTGTCTCAAAATTAAAAATGACAAATTACACACAGTCTAATAGGAAGTAATCTAAATCTCTCATTCTGTCTGTTGTCATGACTGAGTTCCTTGACTTCACAACATCTTGATAAAGCTCTTCAGTGCATTGCACAACACAGTAAGAACTTTATTCTGTCTTCTGAAAGGATCCTGTTACCACCTAATCGCGTTTGCAGTCATCAAGAGGTTTATCTAGTATTTATTTCTCCTCCATTTTTATCAATCTTGGCCACTTTGGAGAATATTGTCTGAATTTTCCCTGCTTAAAATTTTCTGAAATCAAGCCGAGATTTTTTTTTTTTCCCCAATTCTTGAACAGTCTCTGGTTTTGTCTTTTGATTTACAAATTCATTCTTCTTCTTTAATAGTGATAATCTTTTTTTTTTTTTTGCTTTTTTATTTATTATTTTGTGTTCCTATTCATTTTCTCAGACTTTTTCCTCCATGAAGTGGTACCTCATATTTCTACCTTTTTAATAATTCCCTTTAAAATATATAAAATTATGATTTTTAAACTAGTTTGTGTTACATACATTTCCGTTTCTAGTATTTTAAATAAGGTAACACTCCTTCCAAGAAATGAGAATGTTTCATAATCTCTTTAGAATCACCAAAATAGAAATACCCCAGAAATTACATCTAGGTAATCATCTCATCATTTGTGTCTCAGGTTTGATATCAAAACATCAGCTTAAGCTTAGAAATTTGGCATTGGGAGGAAAAAATTATCAATACGTGATTTCGTGTATTCCTAATCAGAACAATGTTCATGGCTGTGAGTTTTCATGCATTTTGATCCCCATCAAGGTCGAAAAAGTACCTGTTAGGTACCCCTTCTTCAGAATATCCAGGAGTGTACATAATATAAAACTTATTCATACATTAGAAATTAAGACTATTTCAATACAATAGCGTCATAGAAATCTCTGCAAATGATACTGGAATGGAAGTAACAGAGCTCTTTTGGGCTCAATATACATATATCTATCTCTGTGTGTGCACAAATATATGCATATGTAAGCACATCTATACATATGTATAGAAAACATAGCTGGGATTCATCCAGACTAACTAATTTAGATATAGATATGGATTACATAGGGTTCCTTTACTTTCAGTGAAGAAAAGCAGCTACTTCTTGGCTGTGATTTATCTCATGCCAACCTAAACATCCACTGTAGCACAAGGGGGCACTTCTAAAGATTATCTCAGAAGTAAAAGGCAGAGGCTCCCACGACGATTACAAGTACATAAACAAGTAACCACATAAACAGAGAAATACAAAGCCTAATTATAACCACTAACATAAAGATAACAATACACATTATATATAGATTAGAACTAAGTGAAAGTGAACTTAGAAGATACCAGAGGATACATACAAATGGCTACAATAAAAGAGTAAAGGGAAAGATAATTGGATTGTCATTGAGGTAGAACACTAGATACAGATTTGTTGCCTTTGAAATCTTTGCTACAAAGTATCAAGCCACTAATGCTACATAAAATTACGTAAATAACTTCAGGTAGTGCCCTACAAATCTCAAGAGATGGAACTGACCTGAGGCGGACTATTGCTACTGCCACAGCTTTGATTGAATGAACTTTAATGTGACCCTCTGATGACTATCCTGCCGGTGAATAACAATGAGAAGTGCACAAAGACAACCATTTCTCTACAATTGTCTTGGACAGTGGCAGACCAGATATGCTGGTCATAAAATAAACCCCAAAAGATAGACTTTTAAAAGCCGTATTGTCTTCTGGATTCAAAGTCTGGCTTAAAAATAAAGAAATTCATTGAGACCATTCTGACAGTGGTAAAGCTAACATATCAGACTTGGCAAAAGTGAACATCTACCTCCCCAGGAGAATAAAAATATTAGAGATTTTACAGAAGAGAGTATTTATGTATTCTAAGAGGTACGCAAGTCAGTTGTTAAAGCTTTGACATCTCTGATTTTGTATAGTAAATTCTCTACAACTGATAATAGAATACACAGACAAGCCATCTTTATGTATCTGTTGATACAAACCCTCCAGTTATTTGCACCACTGATCAGAGAGCAAATGATGGCACTGGAATGCGATACTGAATGAGCAGAAAGAGAAGTCTGAATCACACAACCTATTGTAAAACCTGCAAGACAAATTCCTGTTTTTAAATAAGAAACAATCAGGAATGCACACAAAGGTTCAAAGGCTGATCCAATTAATCTTGAATTTCATAAAATAGTGGAAGCTAAATTCAGGTATTCCAGAACATTTAAATCACAAGATTGTGAGAACACTGTAAAGATGAACATCTACCCAAGATGGCAGCTACACAGAACAAACAGAACTTGATGGAGCAGATGGTGAGGCCTGATAGTTCACAGTTTTGGACTTAATTGAAGGTCTGAAGCAGGGCTAAGAACATATCTTATGGGAAATTATCCAACAGAACATGCCAAATTACCAAACTGAGGGCAGTAACCTATCACAAAAACTAAGCAGAAATCAAATTAAATGTCATTATATGTTGCAGTATTTGTTTTATAATATTCTAATATTTTTATGTTTTTGTCACAATATAAATTACAGAAAATTGACTTTAATTTTGTTTGATCTCAACTTTTCAAAATATTTTATTTTCATTGTCCTTTGCAATGGAAAACAACTTTGCAATTGGGTGTCTGCACAAAAGGAAAGGATCCCTATCAAACCTTGCTGAGGTCTTTTTGTTAAACAAAGATTTAAAAAAAAAAAAATAAAAATAAAAATTGCTTCAACCTGAGCTTAAATTTTAAACCCCATACATTAAAGAGATATAGTGTTCCCTGGATCAGAATCCCATCTCAGCTGCCAAGTTATGCTCAAGCTATAGTCCCTGGTTGCCCACTGAACAACATCTTCCTTTGTTCCTGGGCTCTTCTCAGGAACTGTTCCCTTGGCAAGCAGAGGGGTGCATGGAACAGAGGACCCTTCAAATCCATGCTCTGCATGTTTGCTGTGTTCAGCTAGACAGCTACTAAATAGTGCAACGCACAGGGATAGTGAGGTGGAGTTTGAGTATGACGATCCCAACAGAGCTAAAATGAGGAAAAAAAAAATATCTATATATAAAATCTGCAAACCATACTGGTGTGATGTAAGTACAACTGTGCAACATCTGTACAATCTCCTTTGTGACAGGATGTAGTGGAAGAAAGGAAAAGTAGTACAGAAAT